CGTCGAAAGAACAGAAAGAAAAGAAGACAGAAAAGCCCTAACGTTGCGCCCTTGGTATGTGTACATTTCCCACAGACAATAAATACTCTTGTAGAAGAGAAGGATGAGTACAGAGATGGAAAGAAAAAGGAGCAGGGGAAAGAAGAAAAGAGGTAGAGACGAGTTTAATGAGTCACAATCCTGACAAGCTGTAGGACCAGACCGAATATCAGACCCCGTGCAACCTCCTCAATCTGTAGACAGTCAAATACCCTCCCCAGAGCCTCGCTGGTGGCAGCCTGGCCCATGACGCCCATGAGCGCCGCCGGCACGCCGCTCCGGATGAGCAGCCCCCTCGCCTTGAGGCGGAGCTTATCCCTCTCCTCCTCCGTCATGTCCGACGGCCACGATGCGCGCTCCTCGTCCGTCGGCATGGTGCTCTTGAGCAGCCTGCGCAGCTGCGCCGCTATGCCGGCGTCCGACGTGTACGTGTCCAGCACCGACTCCTGGATCAGATTCTGCACCGTCAGGAGCGACGGGTTGCCCGGCCGCAGGAGGAACGACTTGGCTGCCGTCAGGAGCGTGCGTCGGATGTTCCACGCCGACGAGAGCGTGTACATCTCGTTGATGACGGCGAAGAGGAGCTCCACCGCCACGCGCGTCTCGGGCTCCGACAGCTGCGTAAACTGCCGGGCTGGCTTGACGGCCGGCTTCTTGGCGGCGGCGGCCGGTGCCACCGGTGATGCGGCGGCGGCCGTGGCGGCGGCCGTGACGTTGGGTCCCGTCGCTGCAGCCGTCGCCGCTGCGCCCGCCACCGTCTGCTGGCCGTTTTCCGGGTTGGTCGCAAGGCTGCCGGTCCTCTTGTGCAGCGTATCCGTCCGGAAGAAGTCGTAGTCCTCGGTGATCTCGTCCGGCGGCGGCGGGAGCTTGACGTTTTCCAGGCTGACCGACGAGGGGGAGCGCAGCGCCGCGAGGCTGGACGTCCGGCTATGTTCCCTGCTCGGACGGGCGCTGCCGGGCCCGGACGCCGACGAGTCTAGACGTTCTGTGCGGCCCACCCGGAAGTACTCGCCCTCAGCATCGCCCTGCTGCGACTGGTAGCTCGTGCGCTGCTCCATGGGCATCATCTTGCCTGGCTGCTGAGACACCACCGACGACCTCTGGCTGTCGATGCTTGCGCGGTCCGAGCGCACCGGCGACTTGGACTCCATGCGGGGCGGCGTGGAGATGGACAGCCGGCTGCTCGGGGGGGCGGCGTTGAGGTCCACCGACGAGCCGGTCGGCCTCTTGGCCAGGCCTGGGAAGTTTCCGAAGACGCCCTGGACACCTCCTACGAGCGTCCTGCCGCCTTCCACGGCACCCTTGGGCGCCGTCGTGAGGACGTCGAGCATGTTCTTGCCGACCGTGTCCCAGCCGAACGACTTGGAGTCTCCGTGCGTGTGGCCCTGCGACTTCTCCAGGAAACGCTTCAAGCCTTCGCTCTCCGCGAGGGCCAGATACCAGCATGCATCGCGCAGGTATCGCTCGAGCTCGCCTCGCAGGGACTCCCTCGTGTGCACCTTCCACGCCGGGAGCTCCTTGTGCAGCTCCGTAAACGCTGTGGCGCTGGACACGGCCGCGATTCGCCGCAGGATCTCGTGGAGCGTCTCAAAGTCCGAGTATCGCCTCACGATCATCCATCCGGGGTACATGGCCGAGCTCGGCTCCACCTGGATCAGGTAATCCCAGTTGGGCTTGCTGCGGATCCTCGACTTGTCAACGTTGTCGTCGTGGAGCGTAAAGGATGCATTGTGCAGCGTCAGCGGCGGCTTCTTCGCCTGCCCATCTCCGCTGCTCTCCCCGTGGCCCGGTGGCGCCTGTATCTGGTCGAAGCTGGTGAACTGGGTGCCGCCAGAGCGACGCGGCGAGGAACCCTGGCTGGTCGTCTCGTTGACCGAGCGCGGTGTGTGGGGCGTCGGGATAGCCTCGCTCGTCGTCGAGACACCGTCGGTGGAGCTGCCGGGCGGGGAGGCCTTGGCTGCGGGGAGCTGCGATGTTGGCGAGGGCTCGCCGGGGGGGACCGACTTGCCGAGGCCTTCCAGGCTGCCGTGCAAAGATCGCGGTCCCGCTTGCTGATCAGTGGATTTGCGGATGGTCGAGGCGCGTTCGCGTCTCCTCTCCTCGTCCCGGGCAATCATGGCGTTGAGCTTCTTCATCTCCTCGACGGCCACCTCCATCTCTTCGTCAGCCTTGCTGAGCTTCTTCTTGTGGCTCAGCGCAGCCTTGGCCCGAGCATCTGACCCCGACCGGTCAGGCTTGGCGATGCCGATGTTGCCGACGTTGCCATCGATGTCGATGAAGACGTTGTTGTCGCTGGCATTGTCCTTGTTGCTGGCTGCCGCGTTGGATGCCGCGGCCACGTCGCGACCGGTCTGCATCCCCACGTCGATGGCCTGGTTCAGGTCAGGTTCGCCAGCCTCCAAGAGGTAGATGATCCAGCTGTTGATCCAGTCGGCCTTGCTGCAGGTCTGCAGGGCCCCCTCGAGAACAAAGTTGGCGAGGATTTCACGCAGGAACACCCAGGCCGGGTCGCCGCTGTTGGGGTTGCGGTCCAGGAACCGTAGGAGATCCTCGCTGACCATCCTGAGCTTGACACTCTGCTGGTGCTGGTTCAGCAGGTTGTTGAGGTGGCAGTCGGGGTGCGAGGCACGGTAGTTGCATATGACCTCGACGGCTGATATGTCGGAATCGGGGCCAACGTCGGCGAAGGCAGAGGCCAGCTCCGACATGAAGACGATGATCATGGATGACGAGTTGGTCAGGAGGTCGAGGAAGGAATCGGCCGGTCGCTTGCGGTAGAGGTGGTTGGAGATGGAGAGGAAGTAGGACGTGAGTATCTTGCGGCAGGTGAGCGGAAACGAGTGGTCGGTCGGTATCATGGGGCTGTACCACGACTTGACGTAGTCGCGGATGATGGCGTCGAGGAGGCTTCCCAGGGCCTCGCGAGTCTCGGGCCGGAGCTCGTCCAGGCCCCTCAGGACCGTCTGCTCATCCTCCCCAGGGCTGCTCTCCTTGCCGGGCTCGGCGTCGGCGGCGCCGAGACGAAGCCTCTCTAGAACGTCCAGCCCCCTTTCGCCCCTGACGATGCGAGCCACTTCGGGGTGGCTAGCTTCCCAGGCGACGAAGCCGAGGGCGCCGCCGAACGCACCGACAAACAGCAGAGCCAGCGGACCCAACAGAAGGTACAGCACAGTCGACAGACCCACGGCTATGGCACCGAGCGTGCCGGGGGTCGCTGTCGAGGCAAAGTCCAGCAGCTTGGCCAGGAGGACGGACTGGAGATCTCCTGCGGCGACGGGTGGTATGCCGTCGTCGCTCGACTTGGCGAATACCGGGATCGAGGTGCCCGGGGCAGCAGCGTCTCGGTCGTCGCCTCCATCCTCGGAATCGCCGTTCTGGAGGGGCTGCGGGGGCTGTGCGTCCTTGGTGCCGTCCAAGGGAGTCCGAGCATCCCGCAGTGATCCTGGGAGGGCGCTGGGAGCCAGCGTGCCACTGGCAACCCGTGTCGAAGTCATGAAGATGGCTCAGAATGAATGTTACGGAATCGAAGCCTCTCTTTTTTTTTTCTCTGGTTCGTCGTGTCCTTAAGACGAATCGCTGGCGAGGGCATGCGGTGGTGGTACCATAGCAACTAAGCTCTGCACGCGCGAGATGTCGTATGATGACGGACGAGAGGGACCGGGTCGTTGTCTTGGCAAGGTCCGTTATCGTTGAAAGGTGGTGGCCCAGAAAAAGGAGTAGAGAAAAAAAAAGGAGTATCGTAAAAGTCGTGAAATGGGCTGGGGAAATGGGGGAAGAGGAAAGGTCGAGAATCCGGGAGTCGGGAATGTCAATCATCCCCCTTGGGGCCGTGGCAGCAGTAGCAGAAGGCAGTGGCAGAAGGCATTAGCAGAAGGCAGTAGCAGCAGCAGTAGCAGCAGCAGTAGCAGTAGCGGTAGCAGTAGCAGAGTAGCAATAGGAGACTAGCAATAGCAGCAAGGCCGCCAGCAAGCAAGCAGCAAATAGCGTTCAGGGGCTGCGGTGATGACCAGCGGGCCGGTTTAGACCCTCGTACCA